ATTGTACGCTCCTTGCAGAGAGGAGTCAAATCTTATTTTTATACATTCACTGCCTAGTACAATGAATGACGCATAGTGCTCAAGCCACAAATCCACTCTTCTTACATCTTTCATCTTTAAATTTGATTATTTTTTTCTTCCCATGGAGTGACTGGTGAGTTTGAACTGCTAACCAGGCAATTAGCCCCACACTCAATCTAGGATGCTACCAAGATTCCTAAAGGCTTCACACACAAAGTGCTTAATAGGAAGCTGACATAGCCTTGGTGGTTATGTGCTGCACTTCTAACTGAAAAGTTAGTGATTAAAATGTACTAGCTGCTCTATGGGAAAAAAAATTGGTTCCCTTCCAAAGAATTTATAGCCTGATGCAGGCTTACTAGACATTGAAGCAACTCAACAGTACTGGAGTAGGCTTGGTCTTAATAAAATGCTTGATGAGTGAATGATTTGTTACAACATTTGAAAGTGAAGTTTCCTAGCTTTGACTTCACTTAATATATGCAATAGGTAGAATGGATGAATTATTCCCTAATTTTATCACTCTATTTATTTAATATTTTTAGTCTCCTGATCAGAGTTTCCACAAATGGAACTTAGTGGAAGTAAAATCCTTGTTACTGGAAGCTGTTAAGCACACATAATAAGTGTAGTTAATAGTAAGAGACCAGATGATGATCCTAGGAAAGAGAGTGGCTTACAATAAAAGGAAAAAAGTCTGAAGTGGAAAAGAATAAAAAGGGGAGAACTTGCTCTGCACTTCTCAAGCTGAGAGAACGGAAAAACAAATTTAAGCCTCAAGCTACAATACTAAAAGATGCTGTGGGCAATAGATTGACCCAGAAAGCATCAAAACAAGATGGTGAATCACTGTACCAAAAAGAACTAGCTGACACTGAAACATTTCAGGAAGTACCATAAAAATACCAGGAGTGAAACTCTTAAAAAAAAAATGTAATAATGCAAAATAAAGAAATCAGGGCTGTAAGACAGGATCAGAGCAAAAAAAAAAACACTGAGCTAAATCTCAAAAGGATCATAAGATGTATGTTAAGAAGCATTTGGAGAAGAATATTATTATCTATCATTTACTATTGTTCAATGTTAATTACATTTATCTAATTTATGAGCTCTTTGAAGGTAAAGAAGCATTATGTCTGTCTCTCTATGGTGGGCAAAGCCAAACACAAGGTCTACCTTCAAGTTCACCTACAGGCGAGGCTGACAGGAAGTTCAAGACTTACCCTCAGGTTGTGTTTCTACTCTGAGTGGAGCTGAGCTCTCTCCAGAGCCATGCTTATTTTGAGCCATTACTCTAAAGATGTACACAGTTGCTGGCATCAGGTTTTGAATGGTCACTTGCATTTCTCCTGGGCGACTGGTGTTCTCAACACGTTCCCTTTGAATGATGAAAGATTTAGAAAGAAATAGCATCTGTTAGGAAGATTCCTAAAATCGGCAATTTCATTCACATTATAATGACTACAAACACCACTCTTAAATCGAAGTCTAAAATTTTAGGCCACATTTTCAGTTTTCAAATAATGACACTTTTGGGGATGAGGTGATGAGCAGTAGAATATAACAGCGGAAAAGCGAAAGGATCACACATACTGTTAACTTTCTGGTGCCCTGGTTCCAACACTGATATTGCAGATTATAATCACAACTTCCTTTCAGAGAGAACACAGAGAAGTGAGCTCTGAATACCATTTCAAATGGAGCAGCTTGCCAATTTTATGGGCTGTACAGACTTGAGTTTTACAGAATGATTCTCAGGGGAAAAAAGAGAAAGAGATTGTAGCTATGACTCAATTTTCACCAGAAACAATCAAGGGATGCTGTGTGTATTTTGGTCAACAGACTGTCATTTTTCAAAAAAATGCTAGGTGTCAACATTATTAAAATTTGGAACAAAATATTAACCATTTAAATGAGTTGTGTACGTAAAGCAATCCATAAAATAGACTAATCACAACACTAAATCTTATCTAAGAAGGGGAGAAGGGGGGCTGGAAAAAAGAGGAGCAATCACTAGCACAGCAGAGGTTAGAGGACAGATGGGGTGAAGGAATAGGAGAAATTCAATTCGGGCTTAAAAAGTTGGGCTGATAATAGGCATAAGTCAATAGGAATTAATTATATAAAACAATATATAGTATATATAAATCTATAAAACACATGATGGATACACAAGGTATATGAATGACTATGCAAATAAAAAACTAATAATAAAAGCTTTATATATATTCATACACACACACACACAACATATATGATTGCAAAAAATTCCAAGAAAACCAAAACCAGATGGCAATGCATTTTTAGTTTCTCTAGAAACAGCAGGGAGCTCTGACAGCCTAGTGGTAAAAAGCTACACTGCAATCCCAAAGGCATATGGTTCAAACTCATCAGCTGTTCTGTGGGGAAAGGGTAGGGAATCTCCTCCAACACTACAGTTGAAAGGTATCAATTCTTCTGTCTTCTTTATTCACTGCCCAGCTCTCAGTGGCACAGCAAGTGACTGAAAGGACCATGGCCTGAATCAGGCATCAAACTAACATCATTGCTCCTCAGTAACTTGGAGAGGCTCCTGACTACAGACTTTCCCCATGCAGTATATCTCCTGATCTCCTGATTGCTGGTACCAAGTGTACTGACTGTGGATCCAAGTAGGATGAAGTTGTTGATAGTGTCAATCTTTCCTCTACCTATCCTGATGTTGCCTATAGGTCCAATGATAGGAATTTTTGTGTTCTTGATGCAATCCATATTGAAGGGTGCAGCTTTGATCTTCTGCAGCAATTGCTTCAGGTCCTCCTCCCTTTAGCAAGCAAAGTTGTGTTATGTGCATAACGAAGGTTACTGATGAGTCTTTCTTCAATCTTGATACCACATTCTTATTCAGAGTCCAGTTTCTTGAATAATCTGCTCAGGATACAGAGTTAACTGACTATGAAGAAAGGATACAATCCTGACACACATCTTAATTTTAATCCATGTAGTGTTCCCTTGCTCTGTTCACACAACACCCTCTTAGTCCAGGTATAGATTTTACATAACACAAATAAGTGGTCTGGGGTTCCCATTCTTCTCAACGTTAGCCATAATTTGTTATTACCCACATAGTCAAATGTCTTCACATAATCAATATAACACAGACAGACATTCTTCTGGTAGTCTTTGCTTTCAGCTAGGATCCACCTGACACCAGCAATGACATCTCTGCTGTCATGGCCTCTTCCCGGTTTGAACTTCTGCATTTTTCTATGTACTGCTCTAACCACTGCTGAATGACCTTCATCAGTATTTTGCTTGCATGTGATATTTAATGACATTATTCAATAATTTCCACATTTTATTGGCTCACCTTTCTTGGGAAAGGGAACAAATAAGGATCTCTCCCATTTAGTAGCCCAGGCAACTGTCCTCCAAATTTCTTGGCACAGACTGGTGAGCATGTCCAGGGCTATATCTATCAGTTGAAAACTACCAATTGGTATCCCATCAATTTTTGGGCCCTTATTTTTTGTGTTTTCAGTGAAGCTTGAACTTCTTTCATTATTGGCTTTTTTTTTTTTTTTAAAAAAAAGTATTTTTTATTGGGTTGCTTACAAAGTTCATATAATTTGTGTTTCACACTATTCTTCATTCACATTGTGTTTGATACAATCATTCCCATTCATTATGCTTTATAAAATTAATCACCATTGGACTATGACCACTAATACCCTGTCTTTTCAGTTCCCCACCAGATCTTTCCCATTTCCTTTACCTGTGCCCCCAACCAAATTGTGCTACTTTGTGATTTCGCCCCTACTTATAATCACCCCTCTGATCCCACCCGTTCCCCCCTTGGATCTTAATCATATGGGATTTTCTGAAACATGTGTCAGCCATTTCTTTCTGGTACAGTGTTTCGGTATATTCCATCTTCTTTTAATGCTTAATGGGTCATTCAAGATTTTGTCCATAGCATCTCTAAGTATTACACTTTGAGACTTGAATGTGTTTATCAGTTCTTTCAACTTGAGAAATGCTAAGTGAGTTCCTTTTTTATTTCTTCAATTCCAGCTCTCTGCACATTCTGTTATATTTTATCCTCTCCAGCTGCCCTTTGAAATGTCCTATTCAGCTCTTTTACCTCAACATTGCTTCCTTTTGTTTTGACTTCTCCATGTTGTAATGCAATTTTTAGAGTCTCTCCTGGCATCCATTTTTTTTCTTTCTCCTTTGTCTCTGTAGTGACTGTTTCTGTCTTTATTTCATTCTTAATGTCATCCCACAACTCATCTGGTTTTCAATCATTAGAGTTCAATGCCTCAAATCTATTCTTAAGATGACTTTAAATTCAGATACGATAGACTCAAGATAGTATTTTGGGTTTTGTGGACTTGCTTTAATTTTCTTCAGCCTCAATTTGAACTTGTACATGAGTAGATGGTCTGTTTCACTGTCAGCATCTGGCCTGGTTTTGATGCAAATATTGAGCTTTTCTAATGATTCCTTCCACTGATATAGTCAATCTGATCCATAAGCCATCCATCTAGTGAGATCCATGTGTAAACCTCACTTACATGAGTTAGGTTCACTGAAAAAGTTTACCCTGGTAATAAAATAAACTGCTCAGAGACATTTGGGATATCTTTTCCCTTCAGCTAAACCTCTAAAGTATAGAGTCCAAGGAGGAGGATATCAAGTGGCTCTTATACTTTGAGATTTCTGATACTTGAATAAATTCTGTTAAAACATGATCTTGTCTAAAAGACATTTTGTTGTTGAATGCCTTCGTGTTGAGCACAACTCATGACAACCCTATGAACAAAAGGCCTGAAGCCCCTTTCTATCGACATTTATCAAAGTTCATAGAGTTTCCAGAGGCATGTTGTTTAGGAAGTGGATGCCACTCCTGTTTCAAAATCTGTGATAGTATGTTATGTGCCATTTAGCTACCTGCAATTACATTTGACTAAACTTAAACCTCCACTAGAGTATAAACTAAGTTTGTTTTGTTCACTTGACACATAAAAGTTTGTATGGGGTTCTCCTAGACAAGTAACAGGAGGAAGGCCTATTTTACTTAAATGAAAATCATTAACCTTACCTTAGGTTCAACTTCTGAGCTCATTTACTTAAGAAAAACCAAAAAAACCCAAAAGTTGGCAAAATTTCTTTTTTTATTCAAATCTTTACAGTTTTTAATATTTGACTTCAACACATCTGAGTTATAATAAGCTGCACTTAGGACTGTCAGTGTATATGGGATATTGCACTTTCCCCTGTGTTAATTCTGTTCATTTCTGAGGTCCGCACTGCTTGGTTAAAAATTGAACTATGGGAAGGATTGACCTAGGCCCGAGTGGAATCTAATAGACATAATGCCAGGGACTCTGTCAGTTTCTATCAGACCAGTAGGTCTGGTCATTTAGCACTGTAATTTTGTTCTACATTTCTCTCTCACTCTGCCCAAGATCCTTTATCACTTTCAGAGTGGTCAGCAGCGACAGTCACACAACATCTGTTCATCTGGTCTCAGTCATGGAGGATGAGGTTCACGTGGCCCATTTGTCCTTTGGACTAACTGTGCCCATGTGCTTTTGGGATTCTTCTCTTTTCTCTGATCCTCACATGAGGAGACACGATAGTCATCCTTTAGATGACTGATAGCAACCAAAGAACCTGACAGTAAATGCAGTGAAATCTGAGAGTAGAAGCTGTGTAACACAAAATCTTTCTGAGAAGGAATGCTCTAATAGTGTCCACTAAAATGAGTAATGAAAAATGAATATTAGAAAATAATGTACTGTTCAATGCAGAAAACTCTTGAGAGACTTAGAAAAACAAGGCAAGGTCCCACTCTCACAGGTTTCACTGCCCTGAAAAGCAGGGGGGTAAAATCTTTGGGTCCACAGTTTGCCAACCTAGATTAAAGGAAGCTCCAGTATCCTATTCCACTGAGAGCTGCACTGCTAAATCAAAGGCCACACCTCTTTATTTATTTTTTTCTATAATTATATTTTATTAATTTTCATAAACATTTACAGAGATTTTGGGCTTCCACTCATTCATTGTTGCACTATTCTCTCTACCCTCCTCCCAGTTTGTTCTTGTCCAAATGCCACAGTGCTTGTCAAAGCCAGTTCTGATTAATCTTCTTTGTCAGTGTATCCTTTGCCATTCCCTATCACTCCTCCCTGAGAGAGACTTCACCCTGAGTCATAAGGAAAAGGGGACGGCGTATTCTCTTAGCTACTTCCTGCTGAAAAGGGACGCTGTGGGTTTCAGGGTGAAGATCTTCTCTCACTACTCTAAAGGGCCCCTTTGGCAGTAGGAAACACATAGACTATTATGGAGATTGATTTTGGAATTCAGATGCACTCTTATTGATTGTGCTTGGCT